CTTTATAGAATGGTATCACAGCTACACATATTGGTGGATTTTAAATGGAGAAAGGGGCCCTTTACATGATGATTTTTTAAAAATTTAAATTTTTTTATGGTTTTGGGGTTTTTTTTTTTTTTTTTTTTTTTTACAAATGTATGTTTTTTTTTAAAAAAATGCAAAAAAAATAACGTTTTAAAATTATGGAGAAAACCCAGGATAAAAATTTTTTACAAAACGTTTTAAAAATGTCCTTTTTACAACTGCCAATTTAGCCAATTTTCAAGTTATTTTTTAGCAAATCAAAATTTTTTTTGGGAAAATATTTTAACGGGTTCCAAAGAGGGAGTACTGTAACAAGTCATTCCTTCCTTGTTTTCATGTTAAATGTTAGTGATAGATCATGGATGTTTTCATGAAAACAAGATTAAAAACGTTAAGTGTTTTGTTGGTTTTAATAAGGTGAATCCCCCGTATGACCTGATATGGTAAAACTATGAACACACCTTCCATAATGTCACGTACATTTGGCATTATCACAAATAGGAACAGTTTTATTCCTAAGTGCTTTGAAATCTGTAACCGGCATGGAAACTTTAATTTTTCATTAACCCAGGGGTGGGATAGGTTGAGGGGGACAAATAAAGATTATAGATCAACACATTTTCATATGTAAAAACTTTTTTTTTTCCAAATGGAAGTTTCATCCATTTGATGAAATGGAAATCATGTTAGCGTAGATGCAAACGAGGTCGGAATCGGAATATTTTTAAATAAAAAAAATAGTGAATTTCCAGTGAGAAGAAATGACAATTTCTAGTTTACTTTTTATGGAAGCTGTAGACAAAAAAAGGGGATAATTAAGGCGTACTTTTTTAAATTTTGCCACAGAACTGTAGCTCTCCAAAAATATATTGATAGATCTGTGAAATATTTTTTTTGGGGAAACTGTTTGCCTCTTTAGGACTGTCAACGAATATTCGGTACTCGACTATGTTCTATCATACCCACTACCGAAATTTTTTACTCGATCATTCGTTAAAAATGTTTTACTTCATATTAATGTAAAATTCAAGGCTATAAAATTGGATCCCTTAAGGGGGGGAAAAAAGAATAAACCCCCTAGAATAATAATGACAAAAAATTACTTTCCAGTCGTAGAAAAAAATGGTAGAAAAAAAGCACCAGGTTCGTATGCATAAAAATCTTTAAGCTATACTTCATTGTAAGAACATTTTTAAAAAGATAGAAAAGGGGGCCCGTGACCTCAGTTTATACGGTTTCATCCGAAAGACAGTCTACGCGTCCCACTGGGGATTCGAACCAAAACTTTTAGAAGTTTATTATAAAATAAATAAATTTTTTATTCTAAATAAAGACCCTTTTTAGTAAACATAAAATAAAAAATTTTTTTAAAGATTCAAAGAATTAAAGTTTGTTACCAAAATGCCCCCATTTACCTTTGATACAATGATATGTGACTGTGTTCTGTTATTCTGTTCCACTCAAATAAATCAAGCCCACATGATGTAGCTTTCTCCTATTTTTTTCAATCTATTTTTTTTTATTTTGGAGATGGGGGGAGGGGGAGGATGTGCTACATTATTGCAGCTACATGTAGTTCGCATACATGCACGTAGTAAGAAAGATAACTCTTACGTATTTTTATTATTTTATTTAGAGTGACCCCCCTTTTAATGAGCAGTCGACATTTTTGTCCACAATGTAAACAATGATAATATTTAGAAAACGTTTGAAAATGGGTGTTGTATGAATTTATTTTATTAACTATTGACCTGTAAGGTAGAGGTCTAAGAGGAGGTAAGTTACAGTGGTTGCAGTTAGAGGTTTATTTGAATCGAAGAATATAAAATGCAGAACTTGATCAATAAGCATATCGGTCTGTGGTTTGTCGTAACTCTCTTTGGTGGTAAAGGGTTGGGGGGGGGGGGGTTTGGGGATGGGGATAGGGTTCTGATAGACCACCTTGTTTCATTGGCCCTTCATCGTTTATGACGTTGCAGTTGCTTGGCCTGACGTTGTCTGTTGTAGTTACTGCTCAGTTCTGAATCACAAGTCAAAGAGACAAGACGTGTTTTCAGTCAAGCGAATATTTTACGAAATTTCTACAATCAAAAGAGCAAGTCAAGTCTTGAAGATGAATAAAAGCGATCTTAAGAGGGTAATGCCAATATTTGTCATGTTATTTTTGTGGGTTACTTTGTAAGAATAGCTAAACAAGCGATTTACTGTAAAAGCTAGAGATCCAACGTATTTCCCTAGGCTTTTAAACACTTCTCCTCTCCCATTTGCCTCCTTAAAAATCAATGGAAAATAACTTTATAACTTAAATAAGGGAAGATAACCAAAGTTTAAATGAAATTTGTAATTTTTTTTTGTTCATTCCATTGTTTTTATCTAATCGACATGTTATGTTTACATCAAGAAATTCCGCGAAATAAACTGATATTCAAATTCCAGGGTTAAAAATCTCAGCAAATTTGCAAATATTTTGACAATAGAGATTTATCCTATTATTTGAATTTAGTCAACAGCTAAGCTATACTGTGTTATAGCTAGAGATTTTCTTTTGGAGAGGTATTTTGCATACACTAAGTTGCAATGTTTGGTTTTGTCAATGACGACGTCATGGTAACCGTTGCCTGAGTGACGTTGTGTTGCAAAGGCAGACCGATCAAATTTTTTTTCCGGAAAGGGGCTGGGGGCTAGGTTAAAATAAAAAATCTATAAATAATTTTAAGTTACTTACAAATCACTGAAAAACCATTAACTACTTTACCAAGCGTAAAAATCTGATTAATGAAAGTGATGTGTGTGAGTTGGGAAAGGGGGGGGGGTCTGAACACTTTTACGTGTATACGACTTTTTCCAATTTCTTAACAGTGGTCTACGTTTTCTAGGGAAAGGGGATTCCAGGGTCGATTTGTAATTATTCATTATGTATATTTAATAATTCCACAAATTTCGAGGAAGGGGTCCATATCCCCCCACCCCCCCCCCCCCCAATCTAAATCCTCGCTTGTGTTGTAGTTTATTGTTAAATTTCAAAAGGAAAAAAAGGTCTCCTAAGTTTGAAATTAAATATGAAAAAAAAATCAAATATTTGCACGAAGAGTAAGGATGTATAACGTGCATTACAATATTAAAGATGTGTGAACATGTTTAATAAAGTAAAAAAACCGGGTATGCACATATATGTATACAAATATCTTGATAATATAAATACACATACTTACATTTAAACACTAATGCACAATTCTTGATCTTTTAAATCTATTTTTTCAAGAAGAGAGTGGATGTTTCCTGCCCTGCCCCGGAAGATGCCTCGAGTTTTTACAAGAGGTCGGACCTAACATTTTGACCCCGTCCTCTACTTCCGGCAGACTCAGGAGGTCTCAGTTTTCTTTTATATATGTACATACCTCCCGGTATTACATGTATTGTAAATCCGAAAAGTAAGTTTATTTTGCCAGCGTAAATATTATACGAATGGAGAGACGTTGATTAGATTGCATAAATTATGTATAAATTAAACATGTAATTAAAGTAGCATATATATATTGTAGCATATATTGCTATCTTTTAAAAATAGCAAACAGAGAAGAGACTTTATGGAATTTTCATTTATTTTCCCAAAGATTACGGCAAATAAACATCATTAATAAAAACTCTTTTATCCCTTTACAGGCTGGGCCACCTAAGAAGCGTCCTGTTCAGCAGGCGAGCCACACCAGCTCCCTGACCACCACGCCCACTCAAAGATCCGACAAAGTGGGACAACAGTGGGTCAGTTAGAAACATTTTTGTGGGTTCTTCATTCTTATACCTCAAATAAAATCGTGCATGTTATATGAAATATTTTTGTTGTTAACAAATTTACTGTAATACTGTTGTATTTATTTTAGCATCAGTCTCAGCAGAGAGAAAGGCAGGCACCACAGCAATTCAGACAAAATTATCCTCATGAAAACAGCTACAATGATAGATCTGCATCTGTGAATACTGCTGCCACCTACCGACCGCAATATGCTCCGGTCCATCCTCCTCATGAGCAACAAACTCATTATAGGCCAGGTGTGGTACCTAGCAGCAACACATATCAGCCGCAACATGCGCAACCTACTCGCCCACATGGGTACCAAACTCAGACAAGACCTAATTATGTGAATGTGAACAACATTCCCCAGCAACATAGAGTGCATCCTACTCATCCACATACAAGGACTGAGTTTATGAGCACAGTTGCTTCTCACAAACCTCAACATGCAGAGCAATCTCAGCAGAGAGTGCATCCTACTCATCCAAATACTATGAGCACAGCTGCTTCTCACAAACCTCAACATGCACAGCTGCCTCAGCAGAGAGTGTGCGTAGAGATAATTAATTTACAAAAGTCACTAAAATTTATTAATTTATGGAAATCTCTTATTCATATGGAATTTTCTCTTTTGTTATCAAAGAGTTTGACGATTTTATTATACTGTAATTAATTTCAGCCTCAGGTGAAGCCGATCAACAGGTACGCCCCTCCAGATTACCTAACACTATGTATCACCCCACCCCCACACTGGAGGACCTGGGGTTAACCAGTTATCTGGACAGTCCTCCCTCATCACCCAGAACTAGGTCACCAGCTCGGGAGGAAAAAAAGGCGGATTCTCAACCAGAGCGAGAGTCGGCAAGGAGGGTCTTACCAGCATGGGACGCACCAACAAATGACTTTTTCGACCGAGAATCCAAGACAACTAACTCACAAGCTAGAGAGTTCAGGATAGCTGTGTCAGCTGACAAACAGTTCTCAAAGATTGACACTGTATCAGAGGCTAAAAAGTCCGCATTGAATGTGACCAATCGGATGAGTGAGAGACACCAGACAAATGTGACCAATCAGATGAGTGAGAGACATCAGACAAATGTGACCAATCAGATGAGTGAGAGACACGGCAAATGTGACCAATCAAATGAGAGAAAGACACCAGGCAAATGTGACTAATCAAATGAGTGAAAGACACCAGGCAAATGTGACCAATCAAATGAGAGAAAGACACCAGGCAAATGTGACCAATCAAATGAGTGAAAGACACCAGGCAAATGTGACCAATCAAATGAGTGAAAGACACCAGGCAAATGTGACCAGTCAAATGAGTGAAAGACACCAGGCAAATGTGACCAATCAAATGAGTGAGAGACACCAGGCAAATGTGACCAATCAAATGATTGAAAGACACCAGGCATATGTGACCAATCAGATGAGTGAGAGACACCAGGCAAATGTGACCAATCAAATGAGTGAAAGACACCGGGCAAATGTGACAAATCAGAGGAGTGAGAGACACCAGGCGGCCTCACACACTCAGATGGTGAGTACTTTTAATTGATGGCTTGAAGTATACAATGACATGTAAGATTAAATGTTCAAAAATTTATTAAGATTAAGATTTAAATTTCATTTGTTTATATTAAATGCCTTGCGTGTGTTTTTTTCAACTCATGAAAGTTATTCTATCATGAATGGTTTACCATAAAAATCTTTTGTTGTTAAACATGTTAAAGGAGAAGAAATATAAGATATTTTTTTAGATGATTAGTAAGAATATCATGAAATTGAATAAAATAAGTAAATAATTTATTATTTATTTTTTTATGTAGAATAAGCATCTGGCAACAAATGTTGAATCGCAAAGATATGTCCCAAGCTTTGCTCCAAAAGGCTGGGACCCAACTACCAAGTCATCAAAGTCCTTACAAGGACCTGCATCAATGGAATCTGTAATTAATGTTACGTCTAGACCTGCCATATTCACTGCGCCCATTTCAAAGTCAGTCATGATCACAGGCCCTGATGTTAAACCAACAAATAACAAAAGACCAGGGTCTGGTTCTATATTGGCTGAGAATCCGGAGAAACGGGCATGTAATTGGGTAAGAGGGATTTTAGTCTTAATTTTCAAGAATTAGCTAAATGCTTCTTTTTAGCTCACCTGAGCCGAAGGCTCAAGTGAGCTTTTCTGATCGTGTTTTGTCCGTCCGTCTGTCCGTCGGTCTGTCCGTCTGTAAATTTTTCACATTTTCGACTTCTTCTCAAGAATCAATGGGCCAATTTTAACCAAACTTGGTACAAAGCATCCTTGGGTGAGGGGGAGTTTAAATTGTTAAAATGAAGGGCCAAGTCCCCTAACAAGGGGAGATAATCAAGAAAAGACAAAAATAGAGTGGGGTCACTAAAAAATCTTCTTCTTAAGAACCACTGGGCCAGGAAAGCTGAAACTGATGTGGAAGCATCCTTGGGTAGTGTAAATATTAAGAACAATTCTCTGTAATCACCAAAGTAATTCTGAAAGGGTCTGGCACACATAGTCTCAGATTTTCTTCAAACTTGGCATATAGCATCTTCCTAGGGTAAAACTTATATATATGACATAATTTTTTTCTGGACATCCTCTGTTACCATGGTAACCTGGGATACATAATTTCTGACATATAGGGATAATTTGTTCATGGCAATCTTGCTAAAATCACACTTTTTATACCATCTGTGCTAAACCCATATTAAGGATTAGAACTATGTTGCTAATTTTTTTCATAAAACTACAACATCAACACTTTAAATGGATATCTTTAATATGTTTAATAATTATTTAAAAATTTAGTAATACTTTGTCAAACAATGGCAAAATATCAACTTTTCGAAATTTAGTCAAAACTGAAAAATAACAACATTTTGGGAAGAAAAATAAAAATTTTGCAGAACTTTCACAATGTATCACTTATTTCATCTGAAGGTTCTTGTCTCAAATAATGAAAATATTCAAAAACATTAATGGGCAAATAACAACAAATGTTGACTATAACAAAATGAAAAATCATAAAATTGGCATTTCGCCAAAAAACAGCTTTGATGAACATTTCATATATACAAGATATATTTTTTCTTTTTAAAATAAAATTCAACGTATTTAAGCTTAAAATTTGTAAAATCAATGAGAAATTGTCAGCTGAATCATAAAAGAATTATATATTCATATCAATAGGCGAGATTATGATCATAAATATAGAACCCCCCCCCTCCCAAGTTAAAGCAAAATACAAAAATAAAAGTCCTCTATTACTGATTATGCATTTAAAAAGGCTGCATCATATTTTCTTAATTATATGTTTTAATAATATATGAACATGAAACAAACACTGCAATCCAAAACACAAAAAAAATTAAATAGTTACTTGCTACATATGATAGCACAAAAGGCTACAAAGTATTACAATGAAGACAAGTATTGTTGGCTTATGAATTTTTTTTTCTTGAACCTTTATCAAAATTATCAACTGTAATGTATTTTAATTAGCAAACCATATCAAATGCAATTTAAAGAAACTCTAAACAATGTATGTGTATCAAGAAGTGATCTGCAGACTTTCAATAAAGGCAAAAATTATCATATAAATTAAGGTATGCACATTGAGACTATTAGTTCATTTTCAACAAGTACCTGCATTATTTCTACTAGAAAAAAATTCATGAACAGAAAACACTGTTATTAAACTATTGGGAAAATTAATGTGAATATTCATTCAATTACTTATTCATTGTCTAAGATAATGCTAGTAAAAATATTTTAATCTATTACAAATTGTGAAATAAATGGCAATTAAGCAACCAATTTTTTTCCTATAAACTTCTAAGGGCAGATCACTCTTACTGCATAAAACTACTCCTTCAAGTAGAGCTCTTTAGTGTGCTGATAAGAGCTTCCTTAAATAATGACCTCACTGAGTTATTAGAAATATGGTTGAATCTTGAAAATTTACAATATGAAGACACACATGAATATTCTCATTTCCAATTTCATCTTCAGGAAAATCACTCTGACAAGCCAGCTACAGTGCCCCTCATTTGGGAAACTAAATTATTAGTAACGGACACCTTGGTACTTTCTGCAGAAAAAATTTGATGCCATATCTCCAACTTCAGGCTTCACCGTTGTTTGGAAATTTTGTGATATTCAGCTTTGCACGTCACTGCATGATTTCATTATAAACTTCTTGATGTTGCATCTCCACTCATATATTTAAGATGATTTTTTTCTACCTGCAGAAGTAAATACAATTTTCAATATCTTAAAATGAATACAAATATCAAACTGAATTAACAAGAGATGTTTGTAAAACACTTATGCCCCCCCCCCCCCCCATTGGACCTTTTCTAAGTCCAAAAGGGCATAACTCTGTCTAAAATTGTGCGATCGTATCCAAAATAGAACTTGACCTACTGCAAGTATTCATCTGATAAATCTGTATGCTAAATTTAATTCATTTCAGTATTTGCAACCTCTGCAAAGAAAATGAATTGAAACTGCAAATAATTGGAATTTTTATAAGTTCAAGGGGTATAACTCTGTGAAAAATAGTGCGATCATACCCAAACCATAATTATCTGATAAATCTGTGTACTAAATTTCATTTCATTATGTGCAACCTCTGCTAAGAAAATGAATGGAAACTACAAATAATTGGAATTTTTTTAAGTCCAAGGGTCATAACTCTGGCAAAAAAAAAAAGGCCGATTGTACCCAAAACTGAACTTGGCCTAGATATTCATCTGATATACCTGTATGCAAAATTTTATTTCAGTATGTGCAACGGTTAATTGTGAAGAAAATGAACGGAAACTAAATGGACCGACAGCAAAGCGATATGCCCTCCCTTCTTCGAAGGGGGGATATACACATAAATGTAATTTAAGCAAACCCTAAATCAAGAAAGGTGTTTTTCTAATGATCATTATGACAGTTGTTCAAGTCAAACAAGTTTTCTTTGATACATGCATATATTATAATGATTTAAAAAATCATTTTGATCAATAAAAGATTGATAAGTAGACCATACACATGTACTACATGTAGTACTGTGTTTTTCCAACTATTTAGATTTGATTTTTGAAATTGGTTACCTTGAAGAGAAATGCATCTATCAGCTGTCCCAATTCCTGAAATGGTCTTTTCCAAAATTAACTTCAAGGTTTCATTTGAATTCTGTTATAGCCATGATTTACATGTGTATATGTTCTTGTTCCTTTTCATCCTCTTTGGTAAACCCTTTGAAAAAAAAAATGAGTATAATCTAATTTTGTTAAAAATCACTAAATTCAAGATAAAAATTAATTTTATAATAAACATCAATCTATTTATTAATCGTCTTTCTGTCAACATTATCAAAAGGGAAAGTCATACTATCATTACAAAAATATGTACAGGTAAAGCACTATATATTGACAGAACTATTTACCTTAAATAGTTTTATATATAGGAGTAGGTGTAATATATAATATGGCTGTAATGTATAAGGATTTACTGTTAAACACAAATATTTAATCATGATTATACCAGGATTATTTATCTTCAAATATTTTTATACACCTGGGATTTTTTTTTCTTTTCTGAAAAGGGAAACTTTAACTTAATGTTAAGAAGAATAAATTGATTGTATAATGTCCCTCAGTCTTAAGAATTTTTAATACAATAACAAATATGGAGACACAACCACTTGCTGGTGGAGAGCTACAAATTTTGTCCTATACTCATCACTCACGGCCATTGAACAGTGAGGGATTTTTTGTTCCAGTGCCTACTGCCACATGGGACCTCAGTTTATACAGTCTCATTCGACGGACTGGTCTCCACATCCCACAGTGGGATTCGAACCGGCGATGTAAGGATAAACTCCTTACTTTGCAATTCTAGAGCAGAAGCTCTAACCACTGCACCGCGCAAGTGACTTAGAAGAATAGATATACATGTTGATTGTTCTGAATTAATATTATCTAAAACAAAGACTGATATACATTGTATTTTGGAAAAAGTATATCATCTCATGCAAAGTGATCAATAATCATGATGATAATGCTATAAATGCATGGAAAAGAAATTAGTAGTGCAAAATATTTGGCTATAATTTTTTTTTAGTTCCATAAATTTATATGGAAAGCATTGACTTTTGGACAATCGCAGGCAATTTTTCTGTATTTTTCCTGTTTAGATAATGGATTCCCCCTTGACGCATTGTAGAATTGCAAGGAAAAAATAAAAAATTCAAAATATAATTCCCCTGCTCTTTTTGCACTGAAAATTTGCATTTCTTTTAGGATATATTTCACACTCAGCTATTATAATTATCCCATTTGGACAATTTGTTCAAACCTGCGGAAGGAGACATCCCCCTCCAAAAAAAAATATCAAATCATTTCTGCTTGAATTGTTTTTAAAAACCTCCCTAGTATAAATATCAATACATGTGTAGTCATTTACTTGCGATTTTTTTGTCTTTTTTTAATAAAAAGAAAAGAATGTGAAAAGCTGCTTTGAAACATAGGCCTAGCTAGCTACATGTATCAAGCTAAATCGATTGTACTGGACCTGGTTATAATATATAAGGAGATTGTGTCTTATCTGATTTCTTTATGGTCTGCCATCAACATGTATTTTTATGTAATTTTTTTATTGTGAAATGTACCGGGGAGAGGCAGGGCAGAGGTCCCTTCAGGTGTCACAATTTTCATAGCAAAGGAATCTCGGGTTACATGCATGCAAGCCAATAAAATGGAGAAAAAAGTATACATACTTAAAATTTGTAATATTTATAATTACCTCTTGTCTTCTTATGCATTATATCTTGGCCTTTTTTGCTTCTTCCACACTGACAATCCTCACCCTGGACCCACTTTGATAAGTTTTCTCACCAAACCATTTATTTACCACTACAAGTGCCTACATACTGTACCTCCAAGCACTAGAGAGTAATCCAAGGGAAGTAATTTGGAAACAAAAAAAATGCTTCAAAATGCAGAAAAAATGAATATTCACCTTTAAAATTCTTTTACACATATCATTTGCCCACCGATTTTTTAATTGTTTAAATATAACCAAATATCAACCTTTCATGTTTTATTATTGCTTAATTTGTAGATGGCTGCATTTTTTTGTTTTAAGTCTGTAAAAACTGAGCAAAATATACTATATTTTTGACATTTTGCAATGCATAACATGACCACTTACGAGTGTTAAATTTAAATTGAATTGTATACATCGTTGTTTGAATCTCTAGTATTGGATAACAACAATAAACACAAATTTAGATATCTCTGTTCATTTCTAGACATGGTTTTTCATGAAAAGTACAGATTTTCATGATTTACAAAAATGAGAAAGTTTGTATCCCGTTTCTATGGCAACCAAGGCTACAATTCAAAAACTATTTTTAGATTTTACAATCACTCACACACCTGTATTAAATTATGATTTCAAAATCAAAATCTGTAACTATGCGTGCCAAAATATTTTGGTGATTACAGAAAATTGCTCTTAAATTGTTAAAATCATGACCCCCGGGGGTAGGGTGGGGCCACAATAGGGAATCCAAGTTTTACATAGAAATATATATAGAACAAATCTTTAAAAATCTTCTTCTCAAGAACCACTGGGCCAGGAAAGCTGAAACTTATGTGGAAGCATCCTCGGGTAGTGTAGATATTAAATAATTGTTAATAGGGAATCCAAGTTTTACATAGAAATATACATAGAACAAATCTTTAAAAATCTTCTTCTCAAGAACCACTGGGCCAGGAAAGCTGAAACTTATGTGGAAGCATCCTTGGGTAGTGTAGATATTAAATTGTTACAATCATGACCCCCGGGGGTAGGGCGGGGCCACAATACGGAATCCAAGTTTTACATAGAAATATATAGAACAAATCTTTAAAAATCTTCTTCTCAAGAACCATTGGGCCAGGAAAGCTGAAACTTATGTAGAAGCATCTTTGGGTAGTGTAGATATTAAATTGTTAAAATCATGACCCCCGGGGTAGGGCGGGGCCACAATAGGGAATCCAAGATTTACATAGAAATATATAGAACAAATCTTTAAAAATCTTCTTCTCAAGAACCACTGGGCCAGGAAAGCTGAAACTTATATGGAAGCTTTCTTGGAAAGTGTAGATATTAAATTGTTGAAATCATGACCCCTGGGGGTAGGGTGGGGCCACAATAGGGAATTCCTAGTTTTACATAGAAATATATAGAACAAATCTTTAAAAATCTTCTTCTCAAGAACCACTGGGTCAGAAAAGCTGAAACTTATGTGGAAGCATCCTCGGGTAGTTTAGATTCTAAAGTTTTAAAATCATAAAAGGGAAGGTGGTAGTGGGGCATGATAGGACTATAGCAAGAGGCCTGAGGGGGAGTCTGGTAAAGAACTGCATCACTCAAATTACTCAGGTGAGCGATGTGGCCCATGGGCCTCTTGTTTCAAAAAATATTTCTTCCGACATGGACATATAAAAATAAACAAATGTTATGAATCTGTCGCTCTAAAATCTGTAGATGGAAAAAAAAATAGTTTGATAATGTGCATTGTAAATTTGATTGATAAAGAATATAAAAAACAATGCAGTTATGTGTGTATATTGTGTATCTATAAATACGTGTTATGTCTTACAGTCAATGATTGCTGAACAATACTCGACAGAAAGTCGTCACTCTGTAAATCAGGAGCAAAGACGTGACGCATTGTACAGACGCTACAACAAAGACGAGCGTCAACAGACGCATGCCACAAAGCGTCACCAAAATTATGATGCAATGTATCAGGAGCATACTGATGTACCGAGTCGCAACCAGACATTTGATCAGGTAACTATAATTGTTAAGTTTAAAGTGTATGATTTTGGCATAATTAGTGATAAAATCTTACTAATTGCTAGAAATAAATATCTGTGCTTGTGATTTTTTTTTAGATTCTGGCTGAGCAGATAGCTAGACAAGCTGAACTCAAAAGCAAGAATCACAACCAAGCTCCTCAGACTGGCACCAGCGTAAACGAGAAAAGACAAACGTGCCAACCTGTTAGTCTAATTTATATTACATAATAGTTATTTGTAACGTTTATGCATCTTCGCTAGCCAAGGGTTTCTGATATGCTACTCTCCTCATAATCAGGAGAGTAGCGTATCAGAAACCGTTAACTAGCGAAGATGACGAAAAAGTATAGTTTTTTATTTGATGTACAAATATTTGAAATTACACATATAAGTTTAAGGTTTACATCGATCAAGCCTTGGAAGTCCAATTTGTGTTTATGCTTTTACTTGTATATACTACTTATTGAATAAAAAACAACGTGATTATATTTTCTGTTTTCCAGCTGACAAAATCTTTACCCACTGTCAACATGGACGACCTGTTTGGTGGATTGTCACCTTACAGCTGCTGGAATCAGTCGGCACCGGAAGACCCCAGGTTTTCATAATTTCCGGTTTTGTGTGCTTAATTAAGCTTTGGCAAAGATATTTGCGGCATAACCCTCTGTGTTGCGGCATGCATGAAATAAAACACTACAAAGAACTGTTCCTGGTCTCTTGATACCAGAAGATGTGATATTCTCAGAGACTTCAACTACCATGTCTTTCATTGCATTGTCTGTGATAATGATGTATTTGAATATTTTTTCATGACAGACGTTTTTTATATCCATTTATTTTTTTCTTTTTTTTATATTTTTATGAAAAACTGTACATATTGTCATTAACAAAATTATTCTTTGTGTAAACTTTAATACGTACATTTACGTTGAAATTTTTCATGAAATTCTTTTTATTCTATATATTAAATTTTATTATTCCTTTTTTTTTGGAAGGCCTAAAGTTGTCTAAGGCAAAATTTTTATTTTTTTTTTAGTTTATGACATATTGGATTATTTTTTTTTTTCATGACAGCCAATTTTTTTAAATTTATTGATTTTCTTTTTTAAATTGTCTATGACAATATTTGTAGGCACTGTGTGCCTGACGTCACAATAAAATCTTACTTTTCCACTTAGTTTTGTGTTGATATAAAATTTAGCTTTGATTAAAAATAAATAAACAAGATATTCAAAACATTTCAATGAGTTTTTATTGGTAATTTGACTAATTGAAATATATTATTAAAACATTTCTGTGATAAATACATAGCAGAATCTTCAAACCATTTGTTAAGGAGGCTTGGGGTTCACAAATTAACCATGAAGAATTTCATACATTTTAGTTTTAAAATTTATCTATATATGGAGCTCTTCTTCTACAGGAGATCAATATAGTCTAAAAATGGCCACAGCAACAATCCAGCCCTCTTAAGGGTCCGTCTGTCTTTGTAAGATGAGATAGATGCAGGACTAACATCTTATACTATTAAACACTGATATTTTGCTTATCTGTCAGGTTGTAAAATTTGAATTTACCGGGTGGCAGTTTATACAAAATTTACATGTCATACTACCACCCGCTAAATTCAAAATTTATACAGCATGACTTATCTATCATGGCCACTGATATCGTGACATTGAACTTTACCCGTGACCTGCTTATAAAAATAAAGATATGAATTAAAATTTGTATTGTATAATTTTTCATTTGAATGATTGACTAATAGAGTACAAATCGGAAATTATAGAATATAAATAAAAATGGTAAATTACAAATAAAAAAAGTTATAAAAAATTGAAAATAGCGAATACAAAAAAAATAAAATATAGAATTAAAATGGAACTCTAGTCTAGAATAAATAAAAGTAATACATTACAAATAATAATTTTTACAAAGCAAATGGAAAATAATAGAATAAAAAAATTAATATACATGTAACTTGAAAATTATACAAATGAAAAGTTAAAAAATAAAAATGGAAAAGCTATACGTTATTAAAATTGAAATTAAACAATACATGTACAAACTAGCGGTACTGTAGCAATGAGCTCACTAAATGATATCCCCCCCCCCCCATCATCCCATATGAATACAATGGTAGTGCCCATATTTTGCTCTGGGAAACCCAAAATCTGTGTTGGATCAAAAAGTGAAATTGAAGAAGCACAATGGCATTATGTAATGAAGATTCTCTGAAAGTCTCATCAAATTTCATTCAGTGGTACATGTATGCGGATAAGAGATGGGTTCCCCAAAGCGTAACAGTTAATTCTTCTTCTTTTCTGAATTTCCTTGTATGGATAAAACTGAAGACAATAAAATTCATATAAAATAGTTTATTTATGATTAAATGAATAGATGAAGCTTCATTTAAATTAATAGATGATCCGGCAGGGAAATTCCTCAAAAAGTATAAAATATGATACTATTTGTTAAAAGTTTCTTTGGAGCACTCAAAGATGGTGAAAGAACTTCAAGGTGCGAGGTTTAAAGGATGCAAGGTTCAAAATTGGAGAAGTTTAACGAAAAAAATCGGGAGAGGAAACCAGGAGATCTTTTCTTGCCTTCTTTATCTTTCCTCTAAAAATGAAAAAAAAAATGTCATTCATAGATAAAAAGATATGATCCAGTCCCGTTTTTCTATTATTCAAGATGTAAACGAGAAAGCATTGCATTTACTTACGTTTCTGCATAAGAACTTGAACTTGAAAGACGAATTCCTTTTTCTTGCCCTCTGGCATTTCTGTAGAAACAAATCATAAAAAAACTCAAATGTGTAAACTGAATGGCAGAAGGATAAAACGTACGCTGAACTAGGACCTGGGGTCCCCCGCAAATAGTTCGTCATTTTGCGTAGTAATAAAACATTCTAGGAACTCTCTAAGCATTAAAGGCACAAAAGTAAATTCATCGATATCATCAATACGGAGACCTCAGGTCACCTTATATATTAATTGAATTTTATATGATAGACAATTTTCTTTGTCTTACTCCAAAATAATCATATTTATAATCAACTTTCTAATATATATATTAGCAGAAACGAGAAAATAATAAAGGGTGACCAGAGGTAACCTAATATTTTACATCAATAGGGGGACCAAAGATCACCTTACATTGTACATCAGTAGGGGGACCAGAGGCCACCTTATATTTAACATCATTAGGGAGACCAGTTGTCACCTTATATTGTACATCATCAGAGGGATCATAGATCACCTTACATTTTAAATCAATAGGGGTCCAAAGATAATCTTTTATTGCACATAATAGGGGGACCTGGGGATACCTTATATCGTACATCATTTGGGGGACCAGAGGTCACCCTATAATGTACATCAGTAGGGGGACTACAGGTAACCTAATATTGTACTGTACATAAGTAGAGGGACCAGAGGACACCTTATATTGTACATCAGTAGGGAGACCAGAGGGCACCTTATATTGTGCATCAGTGGGGGGGGGGGGGGGGGAGAGGACACCTTATACTACATGTATACATAAGTAGGGGGACCAGTGGACACCTAAAATTGTACAGAGGTCACCCGATAGTTTACATTAGTACGGGGACTATTGGTCACCTAATATTGTACTGTACATCAGTAGAGAGACCAGAGGTCACCTTATATTGTACATCAGTAGTAAAACCAGAAGTCATCGTATATTGTACATCAGTAGAAGGACCAGAGGTCACTTTATATAGTACGGGGACTAGTGGTCACCTAATATTGTACATATTGTACTGTACATCATTAGCGGGACCAGAGGACACCTTATATTTTACATTAGTAGTAGGACCAGAGGTCATCTTATATTGTACATCAGCAGAAGGACCTGAGGTCCTCTCTTGTATATCAGTAGGGGGACCAGAGGACACCTTATATTGTACATCAGTGGGGGAAAAGGGGTCACCTTTCATTGTACATCAGTAAGGGGGACCAGAGGACACCTTATTTTGTACATCATTACGGGGACCAGAGGTCACCGGATATTTTACATTAATACGGGGGCTAGTGGTAACCTTATATTGTACTGTACATCAGTAGAGGGGCCAGAGGTCACCTTATATTGTACACCAATAAGGGAACCAGAGGACATCTTATATTGTACATCAGTAGGGGGACCAGAGGACACCTTCTATTGTATATCAGTAGGGGGACCAGAGGTCACCTTATATTGCACATCAGTAAGGAGATCAAAGGACACTTTATATTGTACATCAGCAAGGGGATCAGGGGTCACCTGATATTGTGAATCAGTAGGGCCAGAGGCCACATTATATTGTACACCAGTAGTGGGACCAGAGGTCACCTCATATTGTACATCAGTAGGGGACCAGTAAGGGGACCAGAGGTCACCTTATATTATACATCAGTAGGAGGACTAATGGAGTTTTATGAAGAGACTTATTTTTACATTAGACAGCTGACTTTTACATTTTAAGTAATGGAGTAAGTCATTGTTTAAATTTTAAAAGTCAGTAGTCGATTGTAAAAGTAAGTCTCTTCATAAAACTCCTGTGGTCACCTCATATTGTACATCAGAAGGGGGACCAGATGTCACCTTGTATTGTACATCAGTAAGGGGATTAGAGGCCACTTTATATTGTACATCAGTAGGGGGACCAAAGGTCACCGTATATTGTACATCAGTAGGGGGACTAGAGGTCACCTCATATTGTACATCAGTAGGGGGACCAGAGGACACCTGATACTGTACATCGGTAGGTCACCTTATACAAGGGTCGTTTAATAATGTCTTCGGTGCTCGGAGAGAAACAAAAGTCGCTTTTCAATAGTTTAGTTATAATGATTTAACATAAAATTATCTTTTCATTAAAACACATGTAAGTAACATTTTTATCCAATTTCTGATTCATTTTCAATTGTTTTTCGAACTCATTTTCTGGTATGAACCTTTGTATACTGGATTATTGCAGATTCTTTGATTTCCTGGACTTGTTTCTTCCTTCTGAAAGGCGTTTTCTCAAGTTTGGCAAATGGAACAAGTCAAAAGGCGAAAGATCTGGCGAATATTGTTAACGTGAATGAACATTAACTTTTGTTTATCCCCAAGACTCCTTTACTCTTCAGGGCTTTCGGGTTTGGACGCTGTCATGGAAAAAATCTTATGTTGTGGATTCCATATTCTCATTAACCTTTTGATTTTTTGCCAAAAAATTGCTTTCTAGATTCCTCCAGAAATATAACTGCATCCCCGAATACGAATTTGAACATTAAGACCACTAATATTTATGAAAATTGCCCATAAATCTATCCTTGTGCTCTTGCAATTCTCTGCTCTTCTTAGACCTTTGTTTTTTTTGTCAAGTACATCTTATTGTAAATTTGTTTTGAGGGTTTTAAGCAATAGATTCAAGTTTCATTATCTGTTTGAAATTCAAATTAACGTGGATAACTACAATTACTGATATTTTTAATAATTGTTCATATATTCTTATATGCAGTCGTTTTCACTCATTTTTTCAAGGGTTACTTTTGAGTAATAAACTTTTTTTTTCTGTCAAACGTTTTTAAAACAGTATGAACTACTCCCGAAATGATGTGTATTTTGAAAGAGGGTGTATAAGGCGTGTACAATCCCCCGCTCTGAGAC